AAAAAAAAAAAAAAAGGATAAAGACTTTGTTTTAAAAATTCTAAGCAAGACTGAAAGACATTAAAGAATTTCTGTGCAGAGGAGTGGTATGATCCAACTGAAGTTTGAAAATATTTACTCTCGGCCCTGTATAAAGAATATGGACTACAGACTGGGGTGAGGGACAAAAGTAGAAGCAAGGAAATTAGTATAGAGATATTACAATAGCCCAATCAAGAGATAATGGTGGCTTTGACTAAGGTAGTAGACGTGGAAGTGGTAAGAAGTAGTCATAAGCTGTATATATTTTGAAGGTGGAAACTATCAGGATTTCCTGATGAATTAAATATGGAGTATGAGATAGAAAAAGAGAGAGAAAAAAATCAAGAATAATACCTCACTGGACCTGAGCAAGTGAAAGGGCAAAACTGCCATTTACTCACATTCTCCAGTAAAAGAAACCAAGGATTCTTAGAGAAATGGCTAAATCGACAGCCAGAACAGTAAGACCCTGGAACATATTGCTGTGGTCAAAGGTAAGTAAGCATGATTATATATACAAACATCGAATCATTATGTTGGGGCACCTGCGTGGCTCAGTTGGTTAAGTGTCCAACTCAGGTCATGATCTCATGGTTTGGGAGTTCGAGCCCTGCATTGGGCTTTCTGCTGTCAGCACAGAGACAGCTTCAGATCCTCTGTCCTCCTCGCCCTCTGCCCCTGCCCCACTTGTGCACACACATTCTCTCTCTCTCAAAAATAAACATTAAAAAAAAAAAAAAATCAAATCATTATGGTGTACATCTGAAACTAGTATAATGTTATATATCAGTTAATTAAAAAAAAAAACAGTTGAATGAACCGGACAAAGTAAAAAAAAAAAAAAAATGACAGAGCCATGTCAAAAGGACACAGGAGCAGGCTTGAAAAAGCTCCCCTACCCAAATATGGAACAATTTTAAGCATCAAAACAAATATTAATAGCAACAAATTATAAGTCATAAGAATCTTCAAGTCTAAATGAAATGAATAAATGGAAAGAAAAAAAGGACCTTCCTTACACTAGAATGCCAATTAACAGACATAAAAGGAATGATGAAATTAGAATATCATCTGTTTAATAACCAACAAAACAACAGTTTCAGGCAAAAATCACCACTGGATGCTAAATCTAGTGGATAAAAGTTTGATAAGAAATAGGGTACATTTACGTGGTTTCAAAGTGTATTGCTGCAAGATATTTATAGAAGGAAAATAATTTTACAGGGAAGCAACAAGGCAGAATACTACCTTAACCAAGTGATCAGAGTTAACATCATTCGTAATAGGACAAATTAATACTACATACCTCCTGATATCATGCAGAGAGGAGGACACATCGTCTCTATAGTATTTCTGCCAAAAGTAGATCACCTGAATCTAATCATGATGAATCATAAAACAAGCACAAACTAATGGATAGTCTACAAAATACATGATTTGCGCACTTCAAAACTGTCCAGATCATGAAAGATAACGACTGAAGAGCTGTTCCAGGTTAAAGGAGACTAAGGAGACATGACAACTAAGTGAAACACATGATCCTAGACTAGATAAAACGAACCAGGGCAAGTTGTTTTCTTTTCCCCCTTTTGCTATAAAAGAACATTAGTGATATAACTGCTAAAATTTGAATAAAACCTCCAGGTTGGATAATATACTTTATCTGTGTTAAATTCCTGATTTGATGATTGTACTGTGGTCATGTACAAGCACGTCCTTGTTTTCAGGAAATACACACAAATAAGTAAGAGTAAAACGACATTAGCATTATGTCTGCAACTTAATCAGTAAAAAAAGTTCTTCAAAGGAACTACTAATTCCTTCTTTGAATTCCCACTGAACTCCATGTGGATTTCTACTATAGTACCTATAGCACTTTGTTTTACTTATTGGTAGGAAAAGAAATGTGCTTTCAAGGGTTAAACAACCTTCCCAAAGTAGAAGTTAGTAAATGACAAACCACAAATTGAATGAAGATCTATCTGACTCAAAGTTAACACTCTGTGAAATCATAAGATGGTAGAATGCTCAGTAAATGTTTGCTGACTATTCATATTGTTATTTTAAAAAAATACACACAGAATGATCTACATAAACAATCTATGCACAAATAGGTTTCTTAATCCCAAGAATTTCACCTGCACAACAGGTATCCCCAGTATCATGCTTATAAAACTATAAACTCTTACTTTCAAGACAAGAGATAGAACTCAACTTGGCTAACATAGTGAGTTGGTGGCAAAGAAAGAAAAAACACAAGATAAATGAACTTAATATAGAAGAGCCTTTATGATCTAGCCCTGTGCTTTTCCAATCTCATCTCTTGTCATTATCTACACCCAGTATTCTTTATCCTATGTGGAAATTTATTCCCACAAGTTAGTGAAAACATGCTTTGTTTCCCCCCCATTTTCAAGTCTTTGCATTTTTGTTCCTTCTGATTATAAAGGACCCCATTCCTTGTCATCTGGATCAATTCCTACATATTCTTTGTAAGACCAGCTCAAATAGTATTTCCCATCAACAAATCCTCTGACCTCCCCAGGCTTAGACAAATGCTTGCTCCCTATTCTTCCAAAACACCATGTACCCTATAATTAAACTTTTTACATGAATGAAATTATTCATTTAGTCTCTCCAGGACTATACTTGAGAGAAGGAATCTTGTCATTCACATTGGCTTCTTCAGCATCTGAAGCCTAATCAGGTTCTTTGTCTATACATTTATATTTTGCTACATGTCCCAAAGGATCAAGGCAAAAGCAGTTAATAAATATTTACTGAAGTAATGAAAATGGGTGTTTTATCACTTGAAAGGAGCTTGGTTTTTGTTTGTTGGTCAAATCCCAAACACTTCTTCATACATAAGACAGAAAATAAATACACCAAACTCATTTAATACTGGTAGTCAGAAGCAACCTGTTTATCTGCAAAACCAAAGAAGTCACAATGTTTAAAAGAAATACCTTAACAAGCAGAACTACATATATGCACAAACCACATCTATCTGCAGATCAGATGGATGAATAAATTGCTGTTACTTACTGCTCTATCCCAATACAATTAATCCTGTTTCTCATTCACGACCAAAGTATTTAATTGTCCACTCTGCATATCCAACTTTACCTGCAGTGCTTGTTCTTGGATATCACGAAATAATTCCATATCTTTCTCGGTCATGATTTCCTGGCTCCCAAAAAGCCGTTCCTCACTTTCTTGTTTGCCATCCCAGCCATCCTGATTGTCTGCACATAAAGAAAGGGCTCACATGTTATTAACTTTATCCTTAGTTTAATACATGAATTAGGAAACATTTCAAAAGTGTTGATTTCAGTTTGAAGACCTTAATATTATAAAAGAAGAGGATACGAGTAAATGGACACCTAGAAAGATGTATCAGTAAATAATATGTACATTTTCTATCTGCTTTATGATGGAAAATCTGAACTGTCCTAAAACTTCTTAAAATTATCACATAACTAAATTTGAACTTCATCAAGACATTAGATTTTAGTATAATACATATAAAAGTTTGATGAGCACCAAGTGATGATGTATGGAAGTGCTGAAATACTATATTGTACATCTGAAACTAGTATTACACAATTTTATACTGTGTATGTTAACTAACTAGAATTTAAATAAAAACTTAATAATAATACAAAATCAGAATAAAGGTCTAAGGAATATGAAACCTACTTTGAAATAATCTGAATATAAAAGTTTTACTATGAATTTAACATATCAACATTCAAATATTGCTTTTTCATACTTCAGTAGTATGGAAGTTGTTTATGTTTTACCAGGACATGATTTTCATCATATGGGACCAAAACAGGGAAAATTTGTTCCTTTTATAATTCTCAATGATTCCACAATCAATATAAGGCCAGTACATTCTTATCTCAGCAAGAAGATAACCTTTGAAATAACTACCGTAACTCCCCACACATTCTGGGTGCCGTTTTAAATAAAGCAGAACTCCACAAATCTGAGGATCACAGATGATAATCCTCGGGGTAAGTATGAGAAATTATAATAAACATCCATAAATGACGCATCTTCCTCAGATGGGCAAGGAAATTCATGAAAGGAGTACTGGAGGGATTATGTAGATCGTTATCCTCTGCATTTGAATATGACACTGTTGACGGACGTATTTCCTCTTTGTAGTAGTATGGCTGAAAAGACAGTTCTTTTCAAATTAAATAGACATATAGGCTGTCAACGGACACCTGTGCACTTAGTATAAGAAGAATAAGGACAAGGACTCACTGCTGAAAATATTCCCAAATTGAAAAATATGTATCTGAAGATCCTTTGTGATTTTAATGCCCCCTAGTGAACGACACAGATGGATGCAGGCACAAATCTAGTACGGCATTCAGTAGCATTCTATCATATATATGGTGCAGATTGTTCCTTAAACTCTACAATTCATAAGAAACTTACAGAGCCAATTATAGCAAAAACTCACACCAATGCAGAAAAGTCAATATTGATTCTCCATATACTTTACACATTTGCTCTAATTATTTCTATTTCTAAAACTTTCCAGGAGATTCTTATAATAATCCATCTCCAATCAAACAGTTTATTCAAAAATGGCTTTCATTAGAATCTGCTTTAGATTCTTTCTTCCTAAGCTCTAAAGGACTTGTATATTTTCTTAAATAAACATACTCAGACTGGAGCTACAGTGTACATGGCTGATAAAGACATGAAAAGTACCTGAATGCTCAAAGAGTAATTAGTTGATTGCCACTCTGGTGAAAAGCCAATCAATACAAGCATAAAAAGAGGGAACTGATAATGATGAGGATTTCCTCTCTTGTGCTGGACCAATCAACCATTTATATAAGCAGGAATGAAGAAGCAGTGAATACAACTACCAATGGGAAATTCAGAGGAAAGAAATCAAAGCTAAGAAATTCTCTTGCAGTATATTAGACACTCACTACACCTTTGGCCGTTGTGAACCAAGAATCCATTCTCATTCTTCTACTTTCCTCAGAGACTTTTCTACTTACTTCAGAGGGTTACATTCTCTAAACTCAAGGCACTAAATAGCGAGACCAGTTTAAGCTTTAATTATCAAGATAGATAATCAAAATTTTTCTCCTCTGATTTGAATTACCTGCTACACTATTAAGTCTTCTCTACAGATCTTTTCTACCTTGAAAACTAGGGACCTTAGCCTCATATTTAAGTATGAAATGAATAAAAGAGGGAATGTTACAACTGATACCAGAGAAATACAAAAAAATCACAAGAGACTACTATGAACAATTATACACCAAAATGCTGGGCCTATTTGGAAGAAATGGATTAACTCCTAGAAATATATGACCTACCAAGACTGAATCATGATGAAATAGAAAATCTGAACAGGCCGATTACTGGTAAGGAGACTTGAATGAATAATCAAAAATCTTCCAACAAACAAAAGCTTCACTGGTGAATTTCGCCATTCAAAAAATACTTAATACCAATCCTTCTCAAACTCTTCCAAAAAACAAAATGGGGAACTCTATTTTATGAGACCAATGTAACTTAACCAGACAAAGAGATCACAAGAAAAGATAATTACAGGCCAATATCCCTGATGAACACAGATGTAAAAATCCTCAACAAAATACTAGCAAACCGATTTCAACAATACAATAAAAGGGTCACACACCATGATCAAGTACGATTTATTCTAGAGATTCAAGGATGGTTCAATATCCCCAAATAAGTCAATACGATACACCACATTAACAAAATGAAGGATATAAATCAGGTGATCATTTTAACAGATGCAGAAAAAGCATTTGACAAAATTCAACCTTCATTTATGATAAAAACGCTCAAAAAAAGCAGGTATAGAGGGAATGTACCTCAACATAATAAAGGCCATATATGATGAGCCCACAATTAACATCAACCTCAATGGTGAAAAGCTGAGAGCTTTTCCTCTAAGATCAGGAGTAAGACAAGGATGCCTATTCTCACCACTTTTATTCAACATCAGATTGAAAGTCCTAGCAGAGCAATCAGGCAAGAAAAAAAATAAAAGGTATCCAATTTGGAAAAGAAGTAAAACTTGTTATTTGCAGATGACATATAGAGAAAACCCTAAAGACTCCATAAAAAAAAATGTAGAATAAATGAATCCAGTAAAGTTGAAGAATATAAAATCTGCTGTATTTCTATACATTAATAATGAACTACCAGAAAAAGAAATTATGAAAACAATTCCATTTACAACTGCATCAAAAAGAATAAAACACCTAGAAGTAAATTTAACCAAGCAGGTGAAAGACCTGTATGTTGAAGACAAAACACTGTACAGATATACATAAGACATTAATGAAGGCAATTAATGAAAAAACAAATAAATGGAAAGATATTCCATACTAACAGACTGGAAGAATATTGTTAAAATGTCCACATTACGCAAAGCCATCTGATAGATTCAATGCAATTCCCATCAGAACGCCAATGAGGTTTTTCACAAAAACAGAAAAAGCAATCCTAAAATTTGTATGGAACAACAAAAGACCCCTAATAGCCAAAGCAATCTTGAGAAAAAAAGCTCCCTTATTTCAAACTACATTACAAAGCTATAGTAATTAAAATAGTACAATATTGGCAGAAAAACAGACAGAGATCAATGCAACAGAGTAGAGGACCCATAAATAAACCCATGCATATATGGTCAATTAATTTACAACAAACAAGGCGAGAATATACAATGGGGGAAAAGATAGCCTCTTCAATAATGTTGGAACTGGACAGCCACATGTGAAAGAACGAAGCTACACAACTCTACTATACCGCACACAAAAAGTAACTCAAAATGGATTAAAGACTTGAATTTAAGACCTGAAACTGTAAAACTCCTAAAAGAAAACATAGGTGGTAAAGTCCTCAACAGTTCTTAACAATAATTTTTTTTTAATCTGATACCAAAAAGCAAAAATCAGTAAGTGGGACTATATCAAACTGAAAAGCTTTTGCACAACAAAATAAAAAGGCAACACACTGAGTAAGAAGATATCTGCAAATCATATATCCAAAAAAGAGTCAATATCCAAAATAATAAAGAACTCATCCAACTCAATAGCAAAAAACAATCTAGTTAAAAATGAGGAGATCTGAACAGACATTTTTACCACCACAGACATAAAGATGGGCCACAGGTACATGAAAAGATGCTCTACATCAATAATCAACAGTGAAATGCAAATCTAAAACACAAGAAGGTATCACCTCACACCTGTCAGAATGGCTATCATCAAAAAGAGTAGAAATTACAAGTGTTGATGAAAATGTGGAGAAAAGGGAACTTCTGCACTGCTGGTAGGAATGTAAATTGGTGCAACCACTATGGAAAATATTATGGAGGTTCCTCAAAAACTTAAAAATAGAACTACCATACAATCCAGCAATTCCACTTCTGGGTATGTATCCAAAGAAAACAAAAACAATTTAAAAAGATAGGTACATCTCCATGTTCACTGCAGCATTACTTACAATAGCCAAGATATATAAGCAACCTAAGTATCCATAAATAAAGAAACTGCAGTGTGTGTCTAAGTATATAATCTTATTCAGCCAAAACAAAAACAAAAACCTAGCAATTCCTAACCCAACCACCAGCTGTGCTGAAATGAAATAAAGTGGGTATGTTGCAAAACTAACCCCCCCAAAAAAATAAATCGTGCCGTTTCTAACATAGACAGACCTCATTATGTTAAGTAAGTCAGACAGAGAAAAACAAACACCATGTATGCGGTTTGTAGGTGGAATCTAAAACTAACTAACTAACTAACTAACTAACTAACTAAATACCAAACTCCTAGATACAGAGAACAGAACAAATTGGTGGTTGACAGAAGAAGGAGGTAAGGTAGAGGGTAGGAGAAATGATGAATTCTTTTGTTTTTCAGTTTCAATAAATTGAATTTTAAGTAAATAAATGAAAAGTAGGAAACAGCCTGATACATAAGTAAATTATCTGAAGTTGTAGTTCTCTCTCTTTCTCTCTTTTAAAGTATAACTCATGAAAAATTACAAATCTATTTGCCAAGATTTGAAGTAGAAAAATTTTGTTCTTTTCTCTATACTTACTTGATCAACAGTATTTTATCTACCCACATTCTTTCTAATTTCTTTCTGGAAATAAAGCAAGCATCATGATGCTCATCACATGATTTATTTTGTAATTTATGAAATGTAAAGATATTCTTGACTTAAGGTTATGGCTTAAATTTCTATAGGAAGATTCTTTGTGGTTCTACCAAAAAAGCACCATCTTTTTCCTACGAGCTCTTATTTGTCCATTCTTGCAACTTCATCTTCAGCCTCTCAATTTCTGCCATAGTTATTACCACCTTACTTTCATCTAAATAAATATCTTTAATATCTTCTTCTATTCCATAACCAGTGTTTAATAATCAAATAAACCTATTCCAGATAACTAGTGTTATTTCAAATAATGCACTTGTGGAATACATTTTGCTTCTAAGTGAACTTTTACCTGTGGGCCAATCTGAAGTGCTTGATTTTCTGTTGCCCTTTTTCCTGATTCTATATTGCTCAGAGTAATCTACCACTTCCCCTCGAGGTTTCCGCCCATCAGGGGAAGGGGTGAAGAATTTGGTAAGGCCATCAATGAGCCCTTTGGTTTTCTTGTTGAACTTCAAGGGGTGACTGCTATCTCTGCAGAAGTCCAAGCCATCTATTCGCTCTAAATATCCTTCTTCTGATGACGATGCTGATTGGCTGGAGAGAGTGATTTTACGTTTACGACCCCTTCCAGGACCAGTTCGAACTTTGCTGAAGGGACCTTTTGATCTAAAGAATCAAACAGGGAAAAGGGTAACTATTAAAAAAGAAATTTTTAAAAGGTTTCTATTTAATATATAACTTGTAATTGGTAAATAACCTATGGCTTTATTAAAAAAAAAAACCACAGTTAAGAATATTCCATAAATCATAAATACTATAGGGAATGAGAAATAATAGTTATTAGAAATATCTACTTCCAGGAAGCCTAATATTTTATAGCAAAATGAATCCTCGGTTGGGAGTCAGAAGGCATGTTTGACTCATAATTCTGCCACTTTCTAGCTATACCTCTTGGAGAAATCACATTGTCTAAACACCAGTGTCTTCATCTGTAAAATGAGAGTTGGACCAGATGACAACTAAGACCCTTCCAAGTATAAAGTCTCATGATCTCTGCACCAACTCAGAGTTACACTTTACCTTTAAACACAAGGATGTATCACCCTCTGAAAGTCAGGAATCAAAAGATTATCTCATAGGAATATTTTAAAGCTTAGATTTAAGATTTAAAATATGAACTACAATACTGGTGCTATATATTTCAAGCTGCTAGTGCCCATTCCTTTCAGTTATTAAGACTGTCATCTTTAAGACACTCTTAAGTGTAGAAAAGGTGGGTAAAATTTTTAATAGAGGTTTATAGGCTTAAAGATATTTTGCATATTATCAAAGGGGAATTACTTATAGAAATACTCCATAAAAAAAAAAAAAAAACTACTACTGAATCTTGCCCCACCTCCTCCAGACATAGCCCAGTTTCCTAGTCCACAAGGGATAATTATATACCTGATTTCTGCTAATAGATGAAAAACACATTATTTTATTTTACATCAGGACACAGAAATGCGACTTAGCTATGACCTCAACAGAAAAAGCTACGCAGTGATTTGTACATCTAATATAAACTACTGAGAGAGACTACATGAGAAATCTGTGAAATGCTATAGCAACATAGTTTTTTCTTTGTTTACATAAGAGGAACAATATAAGACAGTGGTTGAGTCAGACTTTGGTGCCAGGCTACTTGGGTTTTAATCCCAGTTCAACACTTATTATAAAATGTAGTTTCCTTATTTCCTTCTTATTTGAAAAATAAGAGTAACAACAGTATCTACTTCATTTGGTTGTTGGGAAAATTAAATGATTAACACACTGTAAGACACTCAGAACTTTAATAACTTTGTTCTAACTTTATTCTACTGAATAAAGAGCTCTTTATTAAGAGCTCATTAAGTATTAGCCCTTTTTATTACATGAAAGTGCCAGTTGTAACAACTGAAAATTTTTTTCATAAAGCAAACAAGTGACTCCTACACTATAGACAAACCCTATTCTTTTCTCCCCTCACCTTGCCACAAGTACAACTTACACCGTGTTTTGTTTCTTTAACCTGTTTTTTGGACGTCCTATTGGGTTAGCATAGCGCCGTTTTATCTGTGCCGCCTTCTTCTGTAGAAGTTTTCGTCCTTTTTTCCTAGGTCGACATATTTGACATATCCACATACCTATAAAAAAATCAAATTCCACATAAAAGCACAATAGACACAGATACACTGAAAGAATTCAGATACTCTAAGCCAGTAGTTCTTAACCACTTTTAGGTCAAGAACTCTTTTAAAACACTGATGAAAGCCCCCTAAAAAAATAAACACGAAAACATACACACACAAAATTCTACAAATGATTGGAAAAGACGCACAAGTATTCTGAAGCCCACATATGGTTGAAGTCCACTGATCCTCAGTTAAAAAAAAAAAAAACCATGGTCTATACCTGGCACCCAGATTACAAGAAAAGAAGCCAGGTTCCCTTAAGTAATAGATGATTCCAGGACTGAAGCAGGGAAAATACTGGATAACCTGAAGCATCTCATGGTGCCAGAAAATGGAAAAGTATTCAAAAGATGAGGAAGGCATGTCAAAAGGACCTACAAGCCAACTTGAAGGAGCTCCCAATAGTCAAATCTGGGTCATTCTGAACAAAAAAAAAGAAATAATCATGTCAATGGATTATAACCCACTGAATAAAATAAATACCCATCAGTCCATAAGAATATAAGTAATTGAATAAATAAATGGGAAAAGCGATAGCTCTTCTTTACAGCAGAATTCCAATCAGTAAATGCAGAAGGGATGATGGAAGCTGAAAAATCATCAATATGCAAACACCAAAGTAAAACTGGTACAAACAAGAATCACTGATGGATGCTAAAGTCAGTGCAAAGAGGAAAAAGAATAACTTTAAGGTCAGGTTTCTTCTGTAATCAAGTGATCAAAGTTAACATTACCAGTAATAAGACATATTAGTATTATACACCTACACTACAATGCACTAAGAAGGGCACAGTATCAATTCTGTGGTGTTCTTGTCAAACTTCATAATCTTAATTTAATCATTATAAAGAAAGAGACAGACCCAAATTGAAGAACTTTCTACAAAATCGCTAACAAGTATTCTTCAAAAGTGTCAAGGTCAGGAAAGATAGTCTAGGGAATTAACAGATTGGAAGAGACTAAGGAAGCATGATGATTAAATGCAGTATGAAATCCAGCACTGGATTTTGGACCACAAATTCAAATAAGGTGTATAGATTTACTAATCATATCATATCAATGTTAGTTTCCTGGTTTCAGTAATTGTACTACAGTTTTATAAGATGTTGACATTAGAAGAAGCTGTGTAATGGGTACAGTAGGAAGTCTCTGTACTATTTTTGCCACTTGTCTGTCAGTCTGCAATTATTTCAAAATAAAATGATTCCTGCTTTAAGCTGCTATAAAACTTCTTTTGTAGGCATTAAATACAAACAAATGAAGTCCTAAGAAAATCTTTCTTATCTTGAAGGATTCTCAGAAGACCTGTTGCCCAAACTTCCAAGTAAATGGAAAAGGTAGCAAAGGGGGTATTTATTCTTCCAATACATATCAATTTAAGATTTTCCAGAAGCTAACAACCCACAGAGTGACATAAGAAGAGACTCAAGTTAAGATTCTAAGTGGAATAACTTAACTATACCTAAGGTTGAGTCCCTTTCCATCCACAGGAAAATTTTTTCTGAGCAGAAATTATAAAATACTCTATAAGCATTTTACTTAAGAAACCTGTTAAGTCACAAAAACAGAGTTAAAAATGGAATTTATGATAAGGCAAAGCAGGAGACACTAACTGGATTTTTTTTTTTTTAAGAAACTATAAGCATATAATAGGATGGAAGTTCAACCAACAGGCAGTTACATCCCAACCAAATACTTGTCAAGGAATAGGAGTCAAAAGAATAGAATACATTAAGCTATATTCTTATGACTTAGCACACAAAAATTATCTGTTTACAAATTATTTTATAAAAAAAAAAAAAAGGCTCTAGGCCTTTCAAAAGTGATGAACAGTGAAATAACCAATACTGATATAATCAACATGATCTAATACAATTCCATTTCTTCCTTTATAGAAAGAGATATTTCAAAATTACATAAGGCATGTTATTTTGTCCTCTAGCTATAGGACTGGCAAATACTCATAAATGAACCACTTCACTCTCCATGGATACTTAAACATTGAAAACAGAGGAAGATAATAATGAATCCATACACATAGGAATGTCAAGATGCCTAAACAGACTGTCCCCACCTTTAAGGTGCCAGCTCTCTTCCTACTTATACAACCCCAAATAGAAAGACGGAAATTATTCTTTCATTTTAACAAAGTAGACAAAAAGTGCTTTCACGGATTTGCCCATTACAGTGCCAGTCCGACTTCAGGAAGTACTTCTCACCTTTTGGCATCCGGGTGAGTGGCGGATCACAACACTCCATGTGAAAACCTCGGTCACAGGAATCACAAAAGAGCATATTATCCTAAAAAAGAGAAGGGACAGTTCTGCTTAACCTTATGAAACAAAAACACATCAGGATCACAGCTTCATAAAACCTAGAAAGCTTCAATGATCTCACAATGATGATGAGCTACTATAGTAGTAAAAGTTTCTTTAATTTGCATTAAACTGAGTAAATGGACACTCCAAGTTAGCAAAAAGTTTTGCTTCATCTAATCTTTAATAAAGAACTACAGTTTCATAACTTTCAGATATAAGCTAACTTTAGTTTGTTCTAATGGAAAAGAGAAAAGGATGATTTGTAGTTAATACACTGACCATTCCTAAATGAATGCCTCCATAATGCTCAAACAAATTTCAGAAGTATTTCTTTAAAGTAGCTTAGTCTTTCTGCAAACATAGAATTAAGGTGTTTTAGAAACTACCTAGAATAGAAAGAATCCAAGTCTCAAATACCAAGTATTCTAAACTAATGATGTATAATTGAATGGGACCAGTGTTTCAAATTCTGCTGGACCAAGGGAATGAAAAATAATCAACAAAACTTTGAGGAAAATATTAGGTGTACACTCTACTTCTAAATGAAATAGTCACATCAGAAAGCAAGGATACTCACTGCATTCTTGCCTTGATCTCGACAGGAGCTGCATGTTTTACACTCAATGCACTGCCACCGTAAGGCCTTCACTCTAACCGTTAATTCAGGGGAAAACTTTAAACAGGATGGATGACCTAACAGGAGGGGAAAGTTCTCAAATGAAACAGTCAAGAATCATTTTGTAATTGTATTAAAGGAATGATGAAGAAAAAGGCAATTACCTTAAATCAAAATATATATCAAAGAAGAGATGCCCTTGAAAGCTTGCCATACGTGTCTCATCAGGATTTGGCATTCCAATTCAGTTGTACTGATGCTAAGTGTAATTTAGTACACCACCTCCCCAATATGATTATAAAACACCTGACAAACTCCTAACTTGTAATAAGCCTGCATTAAAGCATCATGGGTATACACATGCTTATACGTATACCAATACATAATATGCTCAGGTCATTTCTGGAAGGACACAAAAACTGTTTGCAACTATAATGTCCTAAGATATGAAACTATAAACATTTTGATTTTTAAAATATTTTTTATAAATTTTATTTATTTATTTTGAGAGACAGAGAGAGAGAGAGAGATCCTTGAGTCGGGGAGAGGCAGAGAGAGACGGAGAGAGAGAATCCCAAACATGCTCCTTACAGTCAGCGCAGAGCCCAACTCAGGGCTCAAACCCACGAACCATGAGATCATGACTGAGCCAAAGTCGGATGCTCAACTGACTCAGCCACACAGGTGCCTCAAAACTATAAACATTTTGAATAAGGATTTTACCTTTCACTTTATACCCTTCTGTGCTCTCAATTTTTTAGCAATAACGTATTACTTTTATAACTGAAAATCTATTTTTATTAAATCCCATTATTTAAAGTGAGCTACTTCCTCATATTTTAAGGCACTCAAGCTAAAAACTAATACCTAAACAATATTTCTATTGTGATCAAAATTAACAGCAACAGAAAAAATTTTCCTCTTCCAAAAGAGTTAGTATCGGTTTGATTCTCAAAATTATAGAAAAGTAAATCTGCCTTCACTCTGGGAAGATTTGTCCTTTTCCTCTAAAAGTTGGTTATGTTTATTTTTCTTTGGTGAAAGAAAAGGATGGTTATTTTTTCTCCTCTCCCTTCTATTCCTAAATTTCTCTGAGATGATATGAAGTTTATTATCAAAATATCACTGACATTAAAGGAAAATGGGAGAGAAAGTGTAAAAATCTCATTCATAATCTCCTTGTCCTAGATTAGCCATTTCCTGTTCTACTTTTCCTTTGTAGACTTCCTAAAGGTGCTTGCATGGTTTTAATTATAGAGTATATACAGTTTTGTTTTGCTTTTCTTCATACTTTTAGTCAAGTAAACTTTATATTCTTTAAACTGATTGATACCCTATAACCTACCTGACACTACTTCCCTATTGTTAACTAATTAAACTACTACCTGTAATAGAATACTACAATGAATTATTTTATATCTACAGATTCTTCCCTTCTTTTATTTATTGACTTTGAGAGAGACAGAGAGAATATGCAAATGTGAGCAAGGGAGGGGCAGAGAGAGAGAGAGAGAGAGAGAGAGAGAGAGAGAGAGAATCCCAAGCAGGCTCTGAGCTGTCAGCATGGAGCCAGATGTGGGGCTCGATTTCACGAACCATGAGATCATAACCTGAGCTGAAATCAAGAGTCAGATGCTTAACCGATTGAGGCACCCAGGTGCCCCATCCTTCTTTTAAATTAATTCCTTAAAATAAATTTCTGTAAGTGGGGTTGGTAAGTGAAATGAAAGAAACATACCAGCAAAGTACCAATGTTTTAATACAATTTCATCAACTCTAGGTTTGGGCTCTTTTATCTTTCAAATTTTATTATTATACAAGTTATAAAACAGCTTTCACTGCTGCACTGGTGTGCATGCCTATAATTACTTGGGTAAAATGTTTTTTTAATATATTCAACAATTAACTTTCGTTCATAGGCTCTGCCCTTTGACTTTATGCTAGAAATGTAAGCACACTCTTCATAGCTTTTGGCCCTTTATCATATTTAATGCAATTATTTTCCCCAAAACTTTTTTGCTTTTTAAAATTTTGGGTATTTTAGTTCTCACTTTGGTAATATCAAATATCATATACTTAACTATGTTCATAGTTTTCTTCCTTGCCTACTGTAATAGTCAGGCTCCAAGCTGCCCTCCAAACGTTCTTGTCTTCTGGCAAGAATACCAATTGACACCTGTGTAGTTCCCTCCCACACAGAATAGGGCTGATTTGTGTGCTGCAATAACAGGCTACGGCTAGGTAACAAAAGATATTGCCAATTCCACCTTGCTACCTCTATCAGATACCTGCTTAGGGGATGCTGTGGGCAATTCATTTTTTTCTTTAATATGAAGTTTATTGTCAAATTGGTTTCCATACAATACCTAGTGCTCATCCCAACAGGTGCCCTCCTCAATGTGCTGTGGGCAATTCATACAGCCCTATGAAGAGGTCCACATGGCAAAGAATTGAGGCTCCCTGTCAACAGGCAGCATTAACATGCCAGCCAAGTGAGTCATCATGGAATGGAAGCCTTCAGATAACTGAGTACCAGTTAAAATCTTGATTGCAACCTCATGAAAGATTCCAAGTAAAAATGACTTAGGCAGGCCATTCCCAAATTCCTAACAGGAACAACATGAATTAAAAACTGTTGTTGCTTTTAGCTGCTATGTTTTGGGGTGGTTTGCTTCTATAGCAACAGATAACCAATAGTTATTTATTCTACTAGTTCTTTAAAAGTTCCCTCTACTGTTTTCAAATTGCAAAGAACTCAGAGACCACCCCAAATATAATGCTTCTTAGAAGACAGGGGTATACCACAACTCTCCTTCCACCCCCATTTTATTCCCACCTCACCTGAGTAGATTTTTATCTGTTTTATGTATTTGGGCTCCCATACAATTTCTTAAGGGTGCTCCTACTAAAATAGTTTGGAAGTCAATGCATTATAGGACATGTCACTATATTTTTATCTAATATTTTATGATTTTATGGTTTATATTTAACTGTAAAATCCATCCCAAGTTCATTACTGTTTGTGATTATTATGCTGGAATATGGTCACCTACCACTCAAGATCTCTTCCCACCTTCTTTTAAAGCCTTCTATAAACAAAAACCAAAAAGCTAAAAACTGTACTTCCTAGACTCTTTTGCAGCTTGGCTCTAGATATGAATTAACTCCTACCAACTGGATGTTTGAGTGACTTTTTGAAAGGGAGACATGGGGGCGCCTGGGTGGCGCAGTCGGTTAAGCGTCCGACTTCAGCCAGGTCACGATCTCGCGGTCCGGGAGTTCGAGCCCCGCGTCAGGCTCTGGGCTGATGGCTCAGAGCCTGGAGCCTGTTTCCGATTCTGTGTCTCCCTCTGTCTCTGCCCCTCCCCTGTTCATGCTCTGTCTCTGTCTGTCCCAAAAATAAAAAAATAAACGTTGGAAAAAAAAAAAAATTAAAAAAAAAAAAAAAGAAAGGGAGACATGGAACAAAGACCACTTTTCTTCTGGTACTGCCAGTACCCAGCCACTTTTCACCTTCATGGCCATCCAGAGGTAAATGTGGCGATGGCCAAATTCAGCCTTTCAATATCCAGCTACAGCCCAGTAGCCCCCTGCTTCCACCTCTTCCAGATGGAGATAGATATAGTGACTCCCCTGGTGGATCACTCCTGCGATATTCTAAGATCAGTCCCTAAAGCCCAGCCTAGAGCTCTCCCCTTCAGCATTTCTAATAATTTCACAAATATTTTGTTCTCTCATTAAATTTCTTTCCTCTTGAAGTATCTAGAGTGATTTCTGATTTCTTGACTAAATCATGGTTGTTATAGATATAAAACACTGAAAATTAAGCCAATGATCAGAGATAATGTTGATTTACTAAGGCCTTCCTACAAAAACTTTTAAGTTCTGACAATATAGACCAAGAATATCTCTAGAATTGACAAACTAGAAGAGTCTTTGCAAAATCTTTTTTAGACCTCAGGATCTCACACAGCTCACTAAATTGCAGTGTCAACATTCCATTTCCCAATGTGACACATGTAAGTTTCTATCAAGAAGAACAAACGTGTTATCATCCCCGTTCTATTCATAAAGCCTGATGCATAAATCAAGAAAGATAAGTAGTGATTATTAAAGAAGCTAGCAATAATTTCAAACTGATTGCTGTGATTTGAACAGATGTTTGATAGTCAAATATAAAGATCAACAAGAAAAAATAAGTCTGTGGAAAGATTTTTATAAAAAACAAAAATCCGAAACTAAGACCTGATTGAAATTAACTGAATAAAACATGTCAACTATACATTTAAATCCCTCCCTCACCTAGAAGATTCATCTCAGTTACCTAAAACCAGCATCAAAGTATTGTTTTATAAGGATCAAGGATACCATCTCAGTTAAATACACTTCCCTCCTGCCTGAGAGCATACATCAGAAGGAATAAAGGAGATTACATACCACTGTTGCCACAGTCGGCACAGGAGATGAGTTCTTCTGGCTTCTTTTCTCGGTTTTGTTCTTTTGTACCAAGACAGAAACTACAGATGGGGATTGGTTCAGCAACAGGCTATAAAGAAAAAAACAATTCACTCAGGTACGAGTACTTTATTTTCAGTATTAATTCAAAGACATTAAAATTACAGTTTTAAATTCCAATGATAGTTACATGTAACCAAGACAACTGTATCACTCTCCTAAATTTCCAACTAAGTAAGGGAGTTTTAACAAAGCCTGCTTTGGCTGGGCCTTTACAACTAGTCCTTCTAGTGACAACTATGGTCCAAAAAAATCGCATACCAACCATCATTTTCACTCAGAAACTAAATGACACAATATGGATTGGACAAAGCAAATCCTTCACCTAAAACAAAAAATTCAACTGAATTAGGCATAAGAAATCACAGTATCAGATCTTAAAAGGTATGTGGTGTCAGAGAAGTGATAAAATGTGCAGAAATAAACACCATACAAGGCAGCAGACCTTAAGTGGTAGAAGAGACAACCAATAAGTACTCTGTACAAGTATAAAAGATAAATTTCAGTTGTGGTTTGGAGGAGAAGGGTTGAAAGAGGAAGATAACATGTATTAAGTACTAGTACTAGGCTATGGGATCTTGAGAAGTTTGTCCAAGGGCAAAAGACAAAACAATTGTTAAAACTGGGTTTAAACCTAGGCTTACATGTGGCTCTACAACGCTACCCCCTTCCCCTCCAGCCCAAAGGATGGAGAGAAAGGCAGTGCAGGTAACATAAATAAGATAAATTTAGGTGTGCAGTCTGCTAAAGCCAGTGCTTAAAGGATATGGTTTCTGTCATAAGTGGTAGTAGAGAGGGTGGGTAGATCACTTCAGTTTGTGAAGACTGCCACTGAATGTCTTATAAAGTTGGATTTTACACTGCAGGAAGAAAACAATAGAAGGCTACTGAACCAAAAGAAAATCACCTGTATTTGAGCAAAACATCCAGTAGCAATATCAAAGATGAATGAGGAGAAACCTAAAGATGGATAGAACATTTAAACAATGACCACAATAGTCTGGTGAAGACAAGAACCTGAACCAAAGCTAAAAAAATGGAACAGAAAAAACAGCTATGGACTTAGAAATAAACTAGTTGTGGAAGGTAATAGAAAAGGAAATGAGTTTAATAAGACTGACTTAATGAAAAGATGGTGTGAAAGGTAGGTCATTTTAAAGAAGAAAATCAGAAGAAAACCAAAGATGCTAAGTCTGATTTTAGATGTGTTTAGCTGGAGGCAATCTCAGTCAAATCTCAACCACTTATATGGGAGAGAGGCATAAAGACCTCAAGATTCTTTTAGACAACAACTGGTGAAAACAGATAAAATGTCTGTCAGTGCTATTACAGAAGTGTTACAATGAGAAACAACAGAGGAATCAAGCGGGGGAAATGGGTAGCAAGGAAAGGTTTCCCAGACTTAAGTTCTTCTGGAGGTACTTGACAGGGAAGGTGTTCAAAGAAAATACAGAATCAAGCTTGAGAGGAGGGGGATGAGCTTAGTTTGGGACTGACTCATGGAGCTTAAAATGCCTATGGAGCATCTATGTAGCAATGCCCATGGGCTTTGTGATACAGGAATCGGAAGTCCAGGAGAATGGTTAGTCTGGAAATAATCTAGAAATCATATACCTATAAAATGGCATTAAGATTCTCAAAATTGAGGAGTTCTCCCATGGAGAACAGGTAGAAAGAAGAGACCTAAGGTCAGAATACCAAAATACAAGTGGCTGTTAGAGGAAAAATCCTGAAAAGGAAGTGGATTAGTGAGAGAGTTGGATGGTACATCAATAATGTCCAACACAAGCAAATTAACAGTATTGCTCAGCCAAGAGATGAAATGAGAGATGAAAAGCTGGAAGTTGTCTTAATAATTGTGGCTGTGGTAAAGACTACCACACGCTTTCTTTAAAAAGGAATATAAAAAAGAACCAGGGAGTAAAGTTAGGAAAGACTTCACTGAGGAGTAGAAATTGGAAGTAAACACTAAGTGAGAAGACCAGCCACAGAATGGAAGATATAAACAACATATTTAACTAACAAATGGCTCACAGCCAGAATATATTAAGAACTCTTACCTGTCAGTATGTAAAAGACAGACAATTCAATACAAAACTAGGCAAAAGTCTTCACCAGGCACTTGACAACAGCAGGTACGTAAATAATAAATGGCCAATAAACATAAGAAAAGATGCTCAACCCATTAGCCATCAAGGAGGTAGAGCTTCATGAACGGCTAAAATTATAAAGACTGGCAAAAGTTAAGTGCTGATAAGAAACTAGAACAACAGAACTCTTAACACTGCTGATAGGAATATAAATTGACAAAACTACTCTGAAGACGATTTGACAGTATTCACTAAAATTAAAGGCATATCATATGACTCAGCACTTCCATTCCTAGCAATATACCCACCAAATGAAGTACACACACATATGTACAATAAAACATACACAAAAATGATAAGAACAGCATTATTCATAACAAAATTTACTCAAACAAAAATTACCCAAATAACCAGCAATGGGTGTACAGATAAACTGTGCTATATCCACAGAGTATTAAACAGTAATGAAAATAACAGTCAACAACGTGGGTGACTATTACAAACAATGCTGAATGAGAGAAAAGACACAGAAGAATACATACTGTATCATTTTATTTATATAAAGTTCTAAAACAGTTCTATATAGTTATAAGTTGAGACAGCAGTTACCTTTAGAGAGAAAAGAAGAGGCAGTGAATTGGAAAGGGACTCTGAGGTGCTGATAATGTTCTTTTTCTTGACCTGGATGGTGGCTTCATGAAGGCAACACTGGAGTTTGGAAATTAGAATAGGCTAGAGAGATTTAAAAGGCAGCAACATGTAGGTGACAACTGACAGCACCTGGTGAGCAAGAGGAGTGAAGTTGTAGTAAAAATGAACAAGGAGAGGGGACTGGAGAAGTGAGACAAAGTCTAAGCAGAAGAGTATGGGGGCAGGGGAAGAGGGGGGACAAGAAAGGACCAGTCTGAGGGAAAACAGAACGAAGAGGAAGTCCTAACACAAGAATTTCAAGCAGAGAGCAACCAACAATCAATTTGGGGAAGATAAAATATCTACTGGATTGCACAACTGAGAAATAGTTGAAGACCTCACTAATAGTGAGCCTTTTTCAGGATAGGATTTGTCTTATCCTATGACAGGATAAGAGCTAAAGTCATAGGAACCAAGAAACTGCCATGAAGGGACAGAAAACAGACAAGAGATGGCTTTAAAAAATGGCAAAAGGTTTTGATGTGTTTTAGGTATTTAAGATGCAAAAGACTAAACCTACTTAAATGTGGAGAAGACGACACACATGGTCAGAGAGATTCAAGAAACAAGAAATAACAGGAACATATTTTATGGTTAAGATTTAGAGCTATACTATTCAACATGGTAGACACTAAACCATGTGGCTATTTAAATCTGAAATAAAATAAATTTAATTCCTCGGTCACACTAGCTACATTTCTAGTGCTCAACATTCACATATGGCTAGTGATTATGGTACTGGACAATACAAATATAGAACAATTCCATCATTTCAGAAAGTTCTACTGGATAATTAATACTGGTTTTAAAAAAGGACAAATTTTAAAGCAGGGATAAAGGGACTGCCCTTCATAGTATAGGATGGTATCAATGCACACTATTTGTAGGTGGGATATGGTGGGAAAAGGGAAATGTTGAGGGTGCTCATTTCTGACAGATTCATTATTTCTGGAAAATAGGACATAAAAATTGCCTGCCAAAAGTGGGACAGGAATTGGCTGGATAGAGCAGGAGAAAGTGAAAGCTGACTGAGAAAACTGACAAGTGAGATTGGCTGGGTCAAGAGCAAAGATAGCAGAAAAAATACCCTCCTATCAAAATGGAAAGTGGACACACATTTTTCAGGCAAGAAAGAATCAGAAAAATGTTATTAACATAGAGAATAAATTCAAAATAGAAGAGAGAAAAGTTGATGGAGTTCCTACAAAATGGCCTCTATCTCTTCACTAAAATAGAAGACAATATCACTTACTTAAACAGAAGTAGACCAGTATGAGTTTGGGCATTTACAAAAAGCGAAAAAAAAAAAAAAAAAGAAAAGAAAAGAAAAGAAAAAGGCTGGAAGTCTCTGTGTGGAAGAAGATAGAGAATCATTAGTAATGGAAAATAAAACTGTCAATCAGCCCTAACCACACAGCTAAGATCAGAAAGTGTAATTTGTAGTGTTTCCAATCAGAATAGCTCTACATCTTTCCTTAACTCCTCTGCAGCCTTGGACCGATAAAATCAGAGAGCTGTAGACTGATGAGATAAGCCAAAGGGTAAAGTCTACTAGAATGCAAATGCAAACACAGCTGACCTTTGAACAACATGGTTTGAACAATCTGGGTCCACTTATAAGTGGGTTTTTTACAAGTGTATGTTGTTACCTTATGATTTTTACTTTTTACTTTTTTCTTGGTGGGAGGGACAGAGGAGAGAAAATCCCAAGCAGGCTCCGCACTGTCAGTGCAAAGGGGGATCGATCTCTCGAACCATGACATCATGACCCAAGTCGAAATCAAGAATTGGATGCTTAACCTACTGAAACACCCAGGTGCCTCTATTTCATGATTTTGTTTTCTCTAACTTACTCTATTATAAGAATATAGTATATAATTATATAACATACAAAATATGTGCTAATTAACTATTTACATTATTGGTAAAGCTTCAGGTTAACAGCAGGCTATTTATTTAGTTTTGTGGAGCCAAAAGTTATATATGAATTTTTGACTACACAGGGGTCAGAGTGCTGCGTTAAGAAGGGTCAACTAAAACAGTGGGACACAACGTTGAGGCTGGATCATAAGCAGGTGGGGGTTGATAAAAAGTGTCTGGAGTTAAAGTACCATGGAAATCTGATGAAATGAAAACAAAGGTCCACAGGAAGAAAAAAGGATTGAAGACTGGGGTCCACAGGGAAACTTTAGAATTTGTGATTTCTAAGTCTAAAGTCCTAACTAATAAAGGAAACCTCCAATGGCAAATG